TACTTTATAGTGTTGCAAGATAAAAAGAAAACATGAACTCCTTCTGGATTTTAGCTAGCTTCAGTTAATGTTAGCCAGGAATTGTTTCTATGCTGATGTTAGCTTCTTTACCTTAGCTGTCCTTATGAGCATGAATATGTTTGTTTTTTTAAACTAAGCTAACAACAGCTAACATGTGAATTTAACTATTTTCTTGCTAAAAATTACTTTGAGGTAGGACTTGTGTCTTTCTTATTGTATGGTGTAACCCTACCCAGTCCAACATTACCTATAGAGTGTTGAATAGGCCGTAGTTACTGTACTTTAACCTGATGTGTAGTCCAAGAGTTGTAGCCATAGACTGTATAGAAAATGAACATACTTCACCCATTTGTTACTAATTGGAATTTTGAATCGATGGTGATCACAATATCAGACATTCTGTCTCAAGCTAACTTTAGGTCAAGCTAACTTTAGGTCAGGCTAACTTTAGGTCAACCTAACGACAGACTGCTGGAGCTGAGGCAGGCCTTAGACCTCCCGACAAACAGACGCTGAGTTTTAACATAAATTGTCTTTTCAATAGGAAAATCTGGAATAAACTACTAACGTTACAGCAGCATTTAGCCTCCAATCCTGAATTCAGGGGGAAAAAGCTGCCATGTAAATATGGTAAAACGTGGAAACCATCTCTCTCTCCTTCTCTCTCGTTCCTTTGCGAGTAACCTCTCTACAAACACACGTTAAGCTTCATTCTCCCTGTTCTCCATAACTCTCTTTGTGGAGATTACCAGTAAAATGTTATGCCCTCCTGCTCGTCAGTATTAAGGATCGCCCAGTCTGCTGATTGAAATAGTGTGTTTAATAGTGTGTTTGTACGTGTTTGTGTCTTAGGGCTGTCAAAACAATTACATTTTTTAATCTCAAAATAGCAGGCCATTAATTGCGATAAAAAAAATTAATTAATTTATTTCAGACCTTACTTTGTCACGATTAACTAGTTAATGCTGACAGCCCGAGTGTTTTTGTGTGCGTCTGTGTGCAAGTGTCTACTGAGCTCCACAATGCGCATGAGAAGTTCAAGGGGCTTCATAAACTGGCATTAAACAGAACATGTGTATGTTTGGTTTTGTGTGCAGGTGTGTTTGTTGAGTTCATAACGAAGACTTGATTTAAAGGCACCTCTCCAGATCTCATCGATGTAAACACACAAAAAAAGACAACAAAGAGAAATTCAACGAAAGGATCAAAACATTTGTCTTCCACTCTGACAGATGTTCAGTGCTGAGGCGATGATTGTACTTCTTTTTGATTCGTTTAGTTGCTGAACTTGTCAACTTTTGCTTTTATTTCTGAGTGTGTCTGTTTCCACAAGTTTAAAATCACATCAAGTGGAGGGAGACAAAAAAATAAAAATCGGTTTTGTTTTTAACAAACTCACTGTGTGCGATTTGTTAATAAAGCGCAGCTTTCTGTTGGCCCCTGTGGTTACAAAGGACGTGAGGTCAGGCGAGTTGCTTCAGCGTTTTCTTTGTTTCCTGCTGAGTAGAGAGCCTTTTGCTTTTGTTGTGTTTGCAGGTTTGTCTCCGAGGCTTTTATTTAAATGAGTGAATATTTAGTTTGAGGAGACACTGACAGAATAAATAGCTCACATCAAATCATTTTCCAACAAATGAAGAGTTATAATGAGCGAACACTTTATAAAGATCTGAAGTAATAACCATTCATTAATGTGAAATGTGTTAATTACTGGGAATAAGAACCAATGCACACAACAGGAAACTTTCCACTTGTCCTCCTCTTGTCAATGATAAACATCTGTGTCTCCTCATCCTCAGCTTCAACACAGCTCCACATGTTAAGATGCTCATTGACAAAATAAGTGATGGTTGATTTTGGAAGCTTACTGTAGCTCCAATTTACAGTAAAAAGAAAAAAAAGTAAGGAGAGATTGTTTCGACTAGACAAGTGATCAGCTAATGTGAACATTTATTTGCATGGTTGTGCTCAAATTAAGTGTCACAATCGTTCCTCTTCATTTTTTGTACTTTTATCGGAAAGACCCAACATATTTATCATAAATTTGTGAAAACCAAGAACATATAATTACGGACAAATATGAAATGCATGTTCTGAAAAACACTGTTAACACGGCAGCTTTTTAGTAAAAAAAACTTTTATGTTCAGGAAGATATTTTGATCGTTCTGTGAGTCAGATTTGTTTCTATTTGTTGGTGATTCTGATCTGGATACAGTCCATATTTTTATGAGTTCTTAATTATCCAATGCTTCATCGTTTTACCAAGTTTCATGAATAAGACATGATTAGATTTGTGTTACCCTGCTGACAAACAGACAAATGGTACCAGAAGCACAAGTCTTTATGGGAGGTGAAAATGTACTTCCTGTAGCCCCTTTGCACATTGCAAATCTGCAACAGCAACATTATGTCTTTGAACTTAAACACTGCATACACAACACTGTTAAATTGATGTCCCTTTGTTTGGTTTCACAATGCATTACAGCGTTGCGAAAGAACAAGAGGTGACATTTAAACAAACCCTAGGAGCTTCATGTACACACTTAGACATACACAAACACACAGCTCAGTTCAGCCCTTCCGGCTCCGACATTACACAATTACAATGTCTTCCACCTGTTACATTCACACCATTGATTGATTGACAATATTAAGTAGTATGCTTTTTCTAGGACAGTAAAGGGATGATCCTCCTTTTTCCTCCTTGCTGGTAAACATTCACTAAATATGCAAGAGCAGTCGTACATGTTACAGGCTGTTTATCCTCTGCAGGATGGGACACATAAAAAAAACATATTGGAAAAAAAGCAAGAGTATACCCTCTTCTTCGTGCCCCACTACACCACTGATAAGGGATACATTACACATTCAAGACGAGATATGACAGGGGGTGTAATTATCACGGCTTGAACTGGCAATATGTAAGCATCATGTGTAATATACTGTATTCAAGAAAATTTCAAATCTTCCTGTAAAACAAATGAAGAACATTTGAACTAAGAGTGTTAGATATCTAAGTAAGCGTACTTTGGGTTTCCTGAGGACTCATTCACACTATAGTGAAATCACCACTGAGTGCTTTCATCGGATTTGTATGGGGATCTGAAAGGGGGACAAACACCAGTAATAAAACACATAATAAAGAGTTTCTGTATTTCTAAAGGACAATGTGAAGGTCGAACATTAAAGAGCATTGATAAGTAGCAGTATTGTCATCAATAGTTCACCAGGGTTTGACTTATTTGGCTTTCAAACTCTCTCTCGCTGCACTCTCTTAATTTAAATTATAATGTGCAGAAAAATATGTCTCTATTGGTCAACTTGGGTCACATCTATCGCTCATTAAATTTTCATAAGGCAAGATAATTGGTGACATAATGTCACTTTATGTCAATGCAATCACAGCATTTTTAACACTGACTCCCTTTGAAATTTAAAATTCAGAACAACACATTTGAGGCAGACTTTTCCCATGAAGTTTTTTCTTTGTATTTACTGAAGTTGTACAAGAAAAGAGAAAGCCCATGTTCCTAAGAAAACTGACACTAATCCTTTAGCATTTATAGCACTAAGTCTACAAATTTGTATAGCTAAGTTGTTGAAGCATGCTGTATTGAAGAGGTGGACGTTCTCATTGGCTTGTTGCTGACTGTCAACTATACTCTCTCCCCAACAGTGGCAATTCTAAAGACTTTTGGGGGCCCCACGCAAGACATATTTGGGCGGCCCTACAACCTGCATTTATCACCATTATGTCTGCCATTGTCCTGACGCTTACTCTGTTTCCTCTTTCTTCCTGTTACATTTTCCTTGGTTGACTTTCATTGAAAAACTTTGGTTTTCACAACAATAATGCATGCAACGCTTAGAAAGGCAATGAGAGTGAGTAATGTCAGGTGGGGCCCCCTTAGGGGGGTTTCCTACTGTCGTTGCAAAATTTGCACATTTTGGGCGGCTGCAGTGGTTTCAAGATTGTGAGCCCTCAGGGGCCCCTTACTGGTCTGGGGCCCCAAGCAGTTGCCTGCCTTGCCTGTTGACAAGCAGCACCTTTGCTCCCCAAAATATTTGTTGTCTCTCTTTAGCCGTCCAATCAAATAAATGCAAAATCACCCCGAAAAAAATATTTTAAAAACAATACCATTGCAGTACATGCTCTCTAAATTAAGGTCACAATATTCAGCATTTACTAGTTACTTCTTAGCATTAGAAGTTACTTATCTCATTCATAAACACGCATATGCTGCCGACCAAGCAGAGGAAGCCCTAGGACACATTGGACATATTGCTGCAAGAGCAGGGGATCAAACCCTTCCAGTTGAGAGACAACAGACTTACCAATTGAGCCACAGCCAACCCTATAATAGCACTTATAATTGCCTTACTCTACTTGACCTAGTCTACAGCTAATAGCTACTTAACTAAGAGTTTTCCTTCAATACCCTCCTAATTACTGCTTATTGATAGTAAGTTAGGAAGTTGTTTTACATGAATTATTCTCTTAATATACTTTTGTTTACTTCTACCTTATAAGGGCCAAACTAAGCAAAGCATATTAAGATCATAATTCACGTACAACAACTTTCTTACTTACTATCAATAATTAATTAGAAGGGTCTTATTGGCAAACTCTTAGCTAATGACCTATTAGCTGTAGAATATGGTCATATAGAGTAAGGTACTAATAAATGCTTTATAATGACTAATAACTAGCTAGCATGCTACTAATTAGCATGCTTTTAAGCAACCACACCTAAGTTAGTTTTTTTTAACTTCAAATTAAATCCAAATCTTTAAATCTTATCTGATTTGCACCTCTGTAGAGGAGAACTTGTGGAGTTCTAGTTTCAGAACTTGCTTACTCGTGCACTGTGGTTTCTGTCCGCACACAGACAAGGCCTATTTCTTTGCCAAGACACTGACATCTGTAGTTTTTTTTTTACCCCACGAACATTGTCTGAGCTGAAGAATGACCTGTTAATGAACCATCACCTCTAACCATAGAGTGCAGCAACCCAAAACAACAAGCTGACACCATCACATTTTAAAACATAGCTGGCTTCAGACCTGAGAACGCCTGAGAAATAATTTCACCTCTCAGGCTTGGAGCAGGGGGAACAGCAGCAGCATGGAAAATCTGTCTCGACTGGTTCTGCTTCTTTTGTTTGCTGGCCAAGCACCAGGTCAGTCTGAAATAGAGTCAGTGAGTTTAAAACATGTGTTGGCTTTGTTTAAACTGTCAACCAAAGTTCTCTGTTCGATTTTTCCCTTCCATTTTTTCAATTTCAATTTTAAAAACTTGAGTCTTATATTCTTTGCAGTTATATAACTTTTTTAAAACATATATTTATACATAATAACTCCTTACAATTTACCATGTTTAAAAAAAATCTATGTTAATGCTCTGAGAAACAGCATTAAGAGACATTCTACTTAACAAATGGTTGAAATAGTGCAAAGATAACTCTCTTCTGCGCCTACTTTATTGAATAAAAGTAGATGTAAAGATGCAACCTACATAGTACATTGACAGAATCATTTTTTGTGTTCAGAATTCCTCTTTGTCATCTGCAATCCAATTGCAAGCGACTGAGTGTTTTGCTTATCTTATCTGCAGTATTTCATCATCATCACACTTAATAATCACTTCATCACACTTAGCTAGACGAGCAGTCGCTCCAATCAAACAATCATTCCAAAGCTTTTGAAATCTTTTGTGTCGTACGTGTCTGCATTACAAAGAAAGAGTCTTTATGAAGTGCATTTGTTGCTTGGAGAAGTTTATCGCATAGTGAGCCATTCGATAAAGATACGATTCATTGCAAAAATTATTCTAAATTGATTTCCAATTTTCCGCTTCTGGTTTGTTTGAGTTTTCCGTCTCATCGTCTCTGTCTGGGAATCCTCGCTTGGGCTGTCATGCAGGCATACTAAATGCACTTTTAAAGTATTTGTAGTCGACCCGCAGGACCTGCTCTGCACTTTTAAAAGTTCCTTGTATGACACATTGCATTAATGGCTCTGTCTTTAGCCCTGACAGCGACCCCGGAGGGACTGGGGGTAAGACAGAATCCTCCCTCTCTCAGTGTGATGCGCGGTGAAACGGCAAAACTGTTCTGTCATTTCAAAGTTGAATCCCTCAAGTATGGGGTTCAGTGGTTCAAAATGAAGCCGGGGAAGCAGCTCATCGCAAAGTCATCCAGGCACATCGTGGTGGAGGAGGATCAAACCTCCTCTCTGGAGATCTCTGAGGTAGCACTGGAGGATTCTGGGTGGTATTACTGCGAGGTGAACGTTCTGCAGAAGGACCCAGCGATGGGCAACGGCACCAGGCTGCTCGTCTTGGGTGAGAAACAAATTGCTTGAATCAGAAATTCATTAGGGTTTGCCCTGCTTGCGCGATGTTTCAATGCTGGTAATTAAATCTCATTTGTATCTTCTGTGCTCCATAGCCACAGCGTTTAGTTTGAGTCCACTCGATACAAGCTGCTGGTGTACACCATGCATCACCATGAAAGAAAAGGAGGGCCCAACTCGATCCATAAAAATTCAAGACATGTGAAATTCCCTCCGAGTTCATCTTTTTGCCTGAGTAGTTTCATGACAGATCTAGAAATAATCACCCCGGCACCATGCGCAGTGCCTTGTATCGATCTTGCCTAGGGAATTGAAACTGGCCAGAAAACAAGGCAGGGAGGGATGGCCAAATTATTATGTGGAGATCCTTCATGCGAAAGAAAAGCGTCCCTTTGATTCTCTCCAAATGCAAAGTTGCTTCCACTAAATGAGAATTGATATTCAATATTTAAAATCCATTTTAACTCTTGAGGGCTTTAATAATCAAAGTACAACATTGAATTGCTTTTTCGGAGTGTTGTGGGTAAAACCTGGAGAGATACAACTACAATAGTGATCACTGGGACATTTTTAAATGACACCAGAAATGTAAGTCTGTCCTGTAGGACCTGGATGGTCTGGATGCCTGGTATAAGACTAGCAGGTCTGTTATGAATTTCGGCCTGAGACCATTTAGTGCTTTATATACTAGAAGTAATATTCTAAAATATATCCATCGACTCCCAGGAAGCCAGTGTAGAGACCTGAGGACTGGTGTTATGTGTCTTGGTGTTGGTGCAGGACTCTGGCTGAAGCGTTCTGGATGAGCTGCAGTTGTCTGAAGGATTTTTAGTTAAATCTGTAAAAACATTTTCACTTTAATTTTCTGAATTGTTGTCTTTTAACAAAATATTTTTTTCCTGCCAGGACCACCTTCTGCTCCCAAAATTTACCTCCAGGTCCCGCCAGACCCTCTGACTGGTAAGTGGGCTCTCATCTGTCTCACTGGGGGATTCCACCCCAGCGTGCTCACCCTCACCTGGACCTACCAGAGCACAGCAGCCACTATCGATCACCTGTCAGTCACCAACTGCACCCTCCCTGCCACGAGCACTCAGAGAAACATTTCTGAAGGAGCCCTGCTGTCTGTGTGGTTGGTGAACTCCATGCCTCCGAGCCAGCCAAAGTGTTTCCAAGTGATGGACAACCACAGCCAGGAAGTTTTCCTCTTCAGTGTATTTTTCCTCCCAATGAAACACTCTTTGGCCACAGGCATCACCTTCACGTGTGGGGTGCACGACCATCCTGCTCTGAGCACGGCTCTGACTGCCTCCTTCACCTGGGGTAAATAACTTAAATAACTTCACTTCAAATTAAAAATCTTTTTTTGCAGGATAAATCTGTAAAGCAGGCACCAGAGCTACAGCTTGTAGAATCCTAATTCATGTTATGTCCATTACTTTTAAATATTGAACTGTTTTTTTCTTCAGTCAGTTTGGTGTGACAGATGGCTCCAAATATTATGAAACCCACTGTTTGCTCTGGAGAAGATGCCTGTCAGATGAATGAATCATGACTGTGAAAAATATACAGCATGCCATTTAAATTTGAAGAAGAAAAAACGACTTAAAATAGATCCAACTTTGACCCAGAATCTGAACAGGTTTTAAACTGCTGAGTTTCCTTGTCAGGTTCCTACCATAGATTGTATACTAATTCACATAGACTCTGTGGCATTGCTTATCAGTACATCGATGTCACAGGTTGCTGGAGGAACAAGGAACTGGACCCAGTTGCAGACAGCCTCAACAAAAATGTGATTTATTTGAACAGGCAAACAAAGACCTTACTTTCTTATCAAAGTTTGAATTCCAAAAACAGGGAGAACACAAAGTCACTAGAGCTCAGAAAAATTCACATGACACCGTAGACAAGGTTTGACATATTACAAGCTGACAACAAGAAGGAAGGAACACTGAGAGTAAATAGACACAGGAGTAATAAGACACAGCTGAGACCAACGACCAAGGTGAAGACAATCAGGGCAATCACAATGGAGGGAAGCTAGACAAAGGGAGGAAGTAAGGCAAGACAAGAAACACCAGGGACAAGAACTACAAAATAAAACAGGAAATACTAAAGAATAAACTAGGATATACATTAAAGTAAAAAAAAAAAAAACAAGAGGGAAACAAGCAACACCAGGGAAGAATGAGACAAAATAAAACAAAAAGGAAATCTAAACTCTGAAAATATACAAAACTAAACAAGAGCAAATCATGACAAGCGACTTTCTTTTTAAAGCATTTAGTTCAGGAAGGTAAAGGACTTGTCCACTGATCCCCCACATCTGCAGAGGCTGAGGTGAACGTCACGGACGGGATAACTTAACGCTCCAGTAAGGAGTTTTTAATAGGTCATGAAAACAATCTGAAATTAAAACAGATGTCTCTAAATCAGTGGTTCTCAACTCGTCTGGCCTCAGAACATATACCACAAACCCCCCCCCACAAAAACCTGACCCAAATTTCAGATATTTTTCAACCAATCAGATTTGTTTCATGCTGAATTGCGCAATATTTGCAGGTTGCAGCTTCAGACACTGAAGTAATGAACTGAACTAAATAAACATGTTTAGAATAGCGCTTGACAAACTGTTTGACACAAGGTTTTTTCCAGGCACCTGCTCGGACCCACTGAACTCCGCTTCGCGACCCACCTTACCTTTGGGTCCCATCCACTCGTTGAGAATCAGAGCTCTAAATGACATTAAATGTCTGTTAATGCTTCTGCAGGGGACATGTCGGACGAGGAGATTAACAGCTTTCTGCCAAAACAGCCTTTTTTATATTTTCTTGTGCGTAAATTCATGATGAGAGAAATGTTTGACGAGCTAACAGAGAGCTAACAAGTGTCTATACAGAGTGTAACTTTAAGCTTTAGATTGCAGTTAGTGAGTTTAGTATTACAGCATATTATCACATTTAAAGTAAACAGAAACAGTTGCTAGCCTCAGCAGAGAATTAACATATTTACAGGAGTCACAAGGCAACATTAGCGATTGTTTTGGTACATTGGACAATCGATCAGCATCTGACAGTCCAATGATTACTTTCTTTTTAGCTGTGCTCATAAAATGTTAACACAGAGAATGTGTTCTCTGTGTCTGTCTGGTGATTGGTGCTGGTTTGTTGCTAACTGAGTAAACCTGATGAAACCTGAAACCTGCTGAAAGATTCTGAAAATCTCTGTAGATCTGAGGGGAAAAGCACAGAATTCTATATAATTCTGTGTTGGTTTATCACTACAGGTGACCTTATTCACACTGCACATAGTAAACTGATGAATTATTGATGTAAAAACACTGACTGGTGCAAGTTTTTATGTACACAGGTTTGTACCGTACTGATGTAGCTCCTGTGGTGATAAACCAAAATATTCTCAGAGCTCTTCTATTCCCCGGAAGTTCTCCAACTTCCATTCACCTAACTTGTTTGTGTAGTGTGGACATACTTTCACTTTAACTTCTGGAACAGCCAGAAACGGTTTCCTCCCACATATCTACAGTTTAAGTAACTTTCTTTCAAATAAAAGTCTGACGGAGCTCAGGGACGGCAGGGCCTCACACGCACAACAAGTCTCCTCATCAGAGTCTGCCCTACTTGACTGTTAATGTGGGTCAGACATCGATCATTCCAAGGCAACAGATTGTCTGCAATGCTGCATACTTGAACAAATTAATGATTTTCCCAATCAATGTTTAAACACCTCTCCTCCCAGGGAGGAGGCAATGTCCATCAACCAAAGCCAGTTCAACCCTCCTGATTTAATCCTGTCGAGCTCAATAAGACGATAAGTCGGTGCTAATCAGTGTTAGCCTTTCTTTCTTTTTTTTTGCTCTACTTTCCAGACGCTTCCCCGAACAAGCTGATTTTACACTTGAATATTCTCAAGATGTGCCTCCTCTCAGCGGTGACAGTTGTGTTTGTAATGGAAGGTGAGTGTGTTAACTTCTCAGCAAGAATTTCAGAAAGTCATTAAAATACAACACTTAATTTATATGATCTTGATCTCCACAGGAGTCAAACATTGCTGCCTGCAGGGAAAATAATGTCAATGCCATGTGAGTACAATATTCTTCTCTGACTTTGGTAAACACAACCTGCACACACACACACACACACACACACACACACACACACACACACACACACACACACACACACACGTGTACACACTCATGCAGGGCTGTTATTATTATTGCCTTATCCTTGTTACCTATCACACATTATTAGTGAAAAGTCAACACTGACGCAACAACCAATTATTGTCTTCCAGGAACTACAGAATGAAAAAGCCGACAAACAAAAAGAAGGACGGGCGGGTGTTCAGTGTGACTCATCTCGGCACCAACCTTTGACAAACAACATCAAAACAAATCTTTAATTTTAGAGCAAATATTGGACATAAGTCTCTCTCCAATAGTTGATATTTTAAAGTTCTTGCCTCTGTGTTTTCCTCAGTGTTCACAGACGTTATACTGTGTTTCCCCTTAAGGCTCATAAACTCCCACGCCATTCATGTTGCAATGGATGTTAATCAATGCAGCCACTAGAGGGCGCCACTCAGTCAAAACTTTGCTGCCGTCCAACTGGCATTCAGTTCCAATCTGATCTGTGCCCAGGCAATATAACATCATATTATAGTACATAACCAGTCTGTCCTGAAAACCTTCCAACCATTTTCCAAAGTATTCTTATTCCTTGTATTTCGCTGGTCTAGCTTGGGCTGTTGGCTACACTGCTCGACACTGCCCCCAAGATTTCCAGTGGTATTGCAATGTTTGGTCTGCATCCATAAGCCCCAAGAAACACACCAACATACGGACAAAATGAACGAGAACAAGCAGAAGGCTAATGGAAAGACAACCTACGCTGTAGAAAAAATAAAGCCAATGCTGAAGTGCAAAAGACTGCAGTTCCTTGAGTGTCCACTTGAAGCTGACTCAAAAAGACCCAGAAGTCCAATACACACCCCATATTAAAATGTACATTTTTGTGTTTACAGGCTGGAACAGAAATGTATTTCAGTTTGAATAGTTTTTGTTATTTTCAGCAGACATTGTACGGAAGGTGAATTTTTTTTTTCAACTCATCCGATTTGATATTATGAAAGAGTGTAATTCATAATAAGGGGCGTGGCTTTTATGACTGATGGGTGTATTGTAGCTGTTTGTCAGGAGGCTTAAGGTCCGCCCTCACTCTTGGCCTGTTACTAGTTTGGCCAAAAGAAAGTTTGAGACAGCATTTCCAATAGGGGGAGTCCTATCAATGAACTTCAAAAGTCTGCCTCAGAAACCAACGGGTGATGTCACTGAGTCTTTGTCCATGTATATACAGTGTATCTGTATCTGTATGCCCAATCAAACCTATAAACGATAAACCAGCCTTAACATGATGCAATGCTCACATCGTTCTTCACACCAAAGCTGTTTATCTCTTTAACTCTTTATCTCCGTTGGTTTGCTGACTATCCTCTTTTTGGGGGGGATTTTCTCATTGTGTCATTGGCTGGTAGTCAGCACATCTTAAGTCGTTCACTCAGGTCTGTGTGTCAAAATGAATGCTCCACGCATGATCCACCTGTCAAACAAGAGACAGTGATCAGCACAACCTCCGCATAGACCTAATCCTCACCAAACAGGATTACAGACGATGCCGCCGCTTGCCTGTGAGATAGCATTGTTTATGTGTGCGTCGCGTGGGGCGAGATCTAGATTCACGTGTTGGAGGAAGTTTATTTTAAATTTTATGGCCGCCCACACATGCCGGCAATGCAAAATACAGTCAGTAATAATGAATAAGATTAAAAATGGTGTACGACCAGACAAGTGATGTCAAAATCCTGCTTTTTTTAACGCAATAAACTCTCTGTTCTCTCACTTATTTTTTTTATTTCTGAACTCCTTTTAAGACTTTCATTATACATACATATAACGCTATGATCTAAATTCATGTATTGCCAAGAATATTTACATGCAGTGTTTATGTTTGTCACTCTCTCTTTCAAAAACAAATTAGTCCTTATCTCTTCTCCTCAGACAAACACACACACACACACACACACACACACACACTCACACAAACGCCATTACCTTGTACCTGTACCAAACAGACTTCTTAGCAATAAGTTAAATAAATGTGTTGTGTGATTTGTTAAAATAAATTGTTCATCTGTGGTTTGTCTTTGTCTTCTGTCATTTCCTCCTCTCACACACTCTCACACACACACACACACACACACACACACACACACACACACACACACACACACACACACACAATGTATTCCTTTACAAAATAACCAGAGCCGTAAATTATGTAAAATAAATCTTTATGATGTTTCTGTATGAAAATACTTGTACCTTACATAATTAAAACCCCATGCCGTAGCTCTACATAGTCATACATATGACTGCTTGTTGGTATACATATTCATATGTGTATTCAATGATATATGCACAACAATAATCAAATCACATTATTTAAATACTGTTTAAATTATGATCTGCACCAGAAAGGCCACAGCTCTGTATGCAAAATTAAGCACACATATTACAGAAATACAGAAAACTGCATACCAGCTGGATTTGTTTTCATTACAGCTGTTCAGTTCCAGCACACATGACACACTTTTTGCATCCTTTGGACACTTCAGCATCTTTTTTTCTTCCACACAACATCTGACACATAATGAGCTAAGTATATGAACAGAAACATTTCCTGTTAAAGCTGCGGTCTCTGTGTTGCTTAGAGTTGACATCTGAGAATGTTGCAGTATGTTAGATATACTCTTCATTTAAATACGTGACACTTCAAAGTGTCTGTGGCTTCTTTCACAACACTCCTTAGAAATCGCAGAGACCTGCTTCGAGAGAACATCCCCTATCTGGTTTCCAAATAGGACGCTCATCAGACAAGCTGCACTGTATACATCATGCCAAGTAACTATCTGACATGTACAAACAAACACGTAGCATTAATTTCCTGCTTCCAGGGATAAAGAAATAACAAATTACTGCAAGCAGCTGCTCACAGCTTCCTTTCAGTCAGCTTAGATAGTATTGATCTCTTCTTGTTTGTGTTTCTTATCTTTTGCAGGCTTGTTAATCCCCCCACACACGCCCCCCAGCATGGGACAGGACAAGCACCTGTTAAGGTGACTCTTAACCCCTTTCATCACACTCCCCACGTTTCCCCTCACAGCAGAGGACGAGAGGTAGAAAATAAGAGGGTCTAGACAGGCGTTAAAGGTGCTGCACAGAAGGGCCTGGTCCCTCCATTTTGGACTATCCCAGTATATGAATCCAACAATGTGTGAGACGTTGTAGGGGCCGAAACATAAAGCGAACACCAGCAGCGTTCCCAAAGCCATGCCGATGGCTCTCAGTCGCCTGCGCCTGTCAATGTGATTCAGCTTGGACAGGATTCTGATGAAGTTGATGTAGCAGTAGCTGCTGATCAGGAAAGGGATGCAGAAAAGAACAATGCAGAGCTCAAGTCGCACAGGCAGGAGGATGGCCAGCTGAGCTGATGTGAAGTTCTCATAGCACACCTTGTTTTCCGCAGGGGGAGAGCTGATGTTGGCACTGTGGGTTGAGGTGTCACTCTGAGGGCCGATATAGGGCACGATAAACACGATGCTGAGGTGGAGGATTGTGAAAATCCAGAAAAAGATGCTGGCAGCTGTAGCGTAAACTGGCCGCCGCTTTAGGGAGTGCTGGATGGGAAACGCCACGCCCAGGTAGCGCTCTACGCTGACAGCAGTGAGGAAGAAGGTGCTGTTGTAAATGGTCATGTAGAAGATGAAACCAGAGAGGGGACACAGGATGTACGGCAAATCCCAGACGAAGTTGTTCATCACTTCATGCATCTTGAAGGGCAGGAAGAGGAGGAAGAGGAGGTCGGAGATGGTCAGGTTGAGGAGCAGGATGTCTATGGGTGATGGTTTCTGCCTCACTTTCTTGCAGAAGGTGTAGAAGGCGAGGACGTTTGCGGGGAAGCCCAGCACGAAGGTGATGACGTAGACGGACAGACACAGGCCAGTGTGGCACTGCTGCATGGTGGCCCTCAGTTAACAGTCTTAGTGGGAGACGGAGATGTGTCAAATTATGTCCTCTTCTCTGGTGGAGGGAAGCACGGGGATGTTTGATCTGTCAGGCAGTCAGAGCCGCAGGAGACGGTGGCGTCTTGCTGGGTCAGCGGTCTGGAACAAACCCGGTGAGACAACGTGGTTTTCCTGTCCCCGCGATAAACCAATGCTCATCGCTTCCTCGAGGGTTTTGAGCTCTGCTGATAAGAGAGAATGGAAAGAGATTACCACACCGCGCAGCAGAGAATTTCAACCTACTGTCCCTTTGACACTTGGTTTAAGGTCGGCTGCCATGTGCTTTACAGTAACATAAATATTGGGGGAAAAAAAGGAGGAAAAGATAAAACTCAATTTGCTTTTTCGCTTCATTTTCTACTTTGGCGTTCATTCTGGAGCCAAATTATCTCTTAATGAGGTGACAGTATTTTTTGGACCTGAACAAGAGTTTATATACAAACCATAACACTGTGTTATTGCTGTCTCGGTGTCGTAAATACAGTATGATGAGGCTTTTATCATTAACTCCCAGCTCCTGTTCTCAGATTAAACACAAACACTGGACACGTTTTGAAATGATGACCCTCGTAAACATAATGACTTAACCACATCGGGGAAATGAGTGTGTCGAAGCTTATGCTGGCACAGTTTCACAACAAGCTTTTTTAACATCAAAACAGTATCTGTATCTTACTCCTGCACTTCGTTTTAAAGGAAATACAAAAACAAAAACCTGAATGAATTAAGGGGAACCAAAAAAACTCAAACACAGAGGCTATCATTTAAGTAATTCAGATACCAAGAAAAGCTAGTTCTTACCTTTTATGTCACGATCTGCATCACTGAATAGTGGAGGTGTGTGACAGAAGCTCGTCTCTTATAGAGAAAGTAGGAGGAAGTTTTCTTTCTGCCCGCCAGAGGAATGTGACGAAACAAAAGAAGTTTCTCCGATTTAAGGAACTTGAAGACTTCCTCGTTGCCTGCAGAGTTGGTTCGTAGCTTCACAATTTTCATATTTTATTATATCCTAAAAGGACCCCCATTGACAACGGAAAAAAAAGCAGAAGTAATTGTGGCTAAGTCTTTTCCACCACGTGCGTCTTGGCACACCTGAATGTGGTGACTGCTCAACTGTTTTATTTGATGTCCTCTGCTCTGCAGCCCTCAGCTTCTGCCACGTCTCTTCTATTTACATGATAATCTAAACACCAAGCGCAGATAATGGAAATTACTATCCGCAGATACTGCCACAATTTATCACCTGCCGCTCGCAAACCAGGGTTTCCCTGGTAACAACTGGCCTTTTTGCAATATGAGCGATGCAGGCGGCCACTGACAGAAGGTCGTTTAATCATCTTTAGTTATCCATGCCTACTTATCCACAGACACCTCGCTATTATGAGAGTAGAAGAATGAGATGACCTGTTGTCAGAGTAGTCCCTCTCTTCTCAACATGTGCTGAGGGCAGCAGGGCAATGCTTTAAGGTTAGCTAAACACAAGCCAGCTGTTTGGATAGCCATACAATGCACACAATAATAAAAAATCAAATAAAGGATGACATGTGGTTTCATTCAGAGGAGACTCATGTGACTGCCCATTGTGAGGTCACATCTTCAGCACACAGAAAAAAAAAGACCCGGGGATGTGAGAGATCAGAGTCTGTTTTGTATTTATAGTTCTCACATCAGCGGCGCTGTGACGAGTTTGTGTTGAAGTAGTGACATGCAGGTAGTCACGGATAATTTCACAAAGTGAGAGAAGTGAGCTTTTGAAGTTCTAATGACTCAAAAGGTGTAGGAGGACTTTTGAAGTAGTTTAATGTATGTAAATCACTCCGAGGCATTTTTCACCGGAAAGTTTAGTCCTCAAACACTTGATTCTCATGTGAGAGTTTTGGGATATTTTGTTACATTGAGAAAGGTGGAAGAGGACACACATGTTTAGCGTAGTAGAAGTATTAAAGGGAGACATTTTTTTACTGAATATAAAAGAAGGACTGGCTCTACTGTAAAAAAAATTAAGTAGCTCTCAGAAGTAAGTCTGTATGATATGTGGAAAACAAGCAAAGTAAGAAAAAGGTGTTAAATATTGCAACAACCACATGCAGTATGATAAATAAAAAAAGATTTGCTTTTAGCTATATCTAAAAGTATCCATGTCTATGTGCAGTTTTTCATGTTTTAAACATTACATGAGTTTACAACATGTCCCTCCTGAATCAAAAAGAAATCCCAAAATGTTTGTTTTTTTCACCACTAATTCTGCACCAATGTGAGCGAAGCGGAAAGCTGATTCGCTGACTGCATCATCATGGCTAACAGCATGTCCACTGTACTCAGACCCAACAGGTAAAACATTCCCTCGCTTAGTGAGAAGGTCTGAATTTGAATTGCAAATGTTCGTATGGCGATAAGGGTGAAACTGCCCAAGAGTTTCATTGAGCGTCACATTTGGAAGGCTTTCAAACTGAATAATGAACAGTAACTTTTCTTCAGTGATGGGCAAGTTACTGAATTTGCAGTCACAGTTACTACTATTAAAAAGTAACTGAGTTCCTAACTTAGTTACTGCATTATAAAAGTAAGTAGTTACTTGGGAAAGTGACTTTAGTGTTCAATTTCTTTTTGCTTCTATCCTAATATCAATGTTCACTATATTTAGTGTTGCTGGGGTCGTGTGAGAGGAAACAAATGGTAAATGAACAATTAGCCATTTTTAATATGTCGGGTTTTTTTTTTTACCTTGTTTGTTCAAGTCGATATGAAGCATGTCATCAACAACGTACCTTACAATAAGTCTGTACAGATTGTGGAACTAGTGGTGATTTAAAATCAAGTCGTCTGTTTGGATTTAGTGTCTCCTCCTTTGTCTCCAGAGTTAACGTGAGCTGGGTATCCAGTGTTTGCAGCGCCGGGCTCTCTGACAACCAGTTAAGTAATAGTAAATGGTTGTTCAGCTTGGTGCTTTGTGGGATTAGAATAACTAATCTTGGTGGTGGACACAAAGTTTTCCTTCCTGCACACTACAACTACAACTCACCACTACAATCTGGTCGTTTAACTCGAGCAGGGAAAAATGATATTTGTATCTCCGAGACAGAAAGCTCACGCCTGACAGACTCACTGTCGCTCACAGATGTTACATTCACTCAGCGCCTCTTCCCTGCGATCCAATTTACCTCTGTTGTCTGTTTTGTTTTGATTCCTTAACTTTGGTTTCATTGTTGGGTGTTCTGCACTTATATGTGAGCCAAGGACCTTCATTATGTAATACGGTCTCATTTATTCAGGAAGAAAAGCATTATTGTTCAAAAACCACACTGCACAATGATGCAAAACAACAATAGTCGGTATCATTTCCTGTCAAATCAGTCAAAGCTAAACATAAAGCCTGATTTGAAAATGTTCAGGGTTAAAGTAAAGTGGTACATTGTCAGAAAAAATGCTAACTTTAGTTAAACAGAGATAGAACAGTTAGAAGAAAAAAGAAAAGACAGAAACAAAGTATTTGCACTTCTCATCCCTCGTTATGACTTAAATATTTGTTCCCTCTTCCGCGTCAGTAACTTAGTTTCCCCTTTGTTGGAGCCAAAATATGGGTTTATTTAGTGTCATTCTATTGTCTTTGGTTGTGTGTGTGTGGGCCCTCTACTGGGCACTATGTGGAGCCTGAGCTGGTGATGTGTTTGAAAGCCAAGGCTCCAGGTGAGATGGGACAGGTGATTGAATTAATGAGTGCCAGCCTGTCGGGTTTATAACATCTAAACCGGATTTTTTGGTTTAGTTTATCGACGTAGTGGGTCGTTATATCTTCCTTTATTGATAGTAAGACATGTTTAAGATGAATGAATTGAAATATCCAAATCACAACAACAATGGACAGTGTTAATGTCTTCGAGCTGAGCACGCGTCCCAAAATAGAAAATGTTGGAGTTTCAACTATGCACTCATGTCTGAAGTCTTCAAATTTGTGTTTCAAACATAAATTAAGACAACCAGGCTGTATTACGCAAGCTGGTGTGTTCCACTGCGACAGCCAGTTTTACAGAATGACGACAGGGATTTTCTAAGATGCCGTGTGCGGCGTGTTGATATTTCATCACTACGGGACGAATCGCTTCTGTAATCAGCAAAAGACCATTCACCCCTTTGGCAAGAGACAGAGGAGCAAATCTAAAGAGAAAAGTAGACGAGGTCCCTTTTGCACTTTCACATTCCATATTTTACTTTAGCTTATCTTCTAAAATGATATCAGAGGCAGAGTGGGATTTTTCCTGTTAGTCTATTAAGGTTGTCCGCAAAAGGAAAAATCTTTTACATAAAGCTGATTGTGTAATACAGAGCAGTCGAGGCTGTATCATTGAATATTTCCTTGTTCATTAAATAGCTCTGCAAGAAAGAAATATTAGTGTGAAGAGGGAAGAAAGAGGTGTAGCACAACTGTGGCGTGAAAATGAAACAATTCAGCTGAATTTTCTTTAATTATAATTCACAACAATAATATATAGCTGCATTTCCCAACCAGGTTTCAAAAGTGTGTTGTTGTTGTTGTTTTTTTGTTCATATGCATTCAAAATCCACATTATACGTTTGTCAGTTGTATGAGTTATTGAGGCACAAATACAATAAGAAACAAATGGTTAACATCTGAGTTTTGTCTGGTTCAGACATGACAACGACTGGTGAGTTTTTGTCTTGTTGTTTTGGTAAAAATATTTTTTTTTGCTATGAGCTTATCCATGCTTTGCTGAAATCCTCTTACATATTTTTCTTTGATTTAAGTCTATTCTGACTATTGATTTAAATCAAGACAAAGACCCCTGTCTACTGGGTACAAGTCCTGTTTTATTCACCCCATTTAGTCATTCTTATCTGCCCACATTGCAAACTTTGCAGCTCCTTATTTTGGACACCTGACATGCAGAGTATTAAGATGTCTCAGCTTTCTAAACAAATCAATGGTAAGGAATGGCACATCACCAACTCAGCCTAATCTGAGCCAAACATGCTGGCATACTTGGTCAAATTAAATGGCCATTCACCTAGGAGTCCAGTCCTGCTCGAGGTTTCTGCCTGTTAAAGGGTGTAATTTTTCCTGCAGTTTACCAAAAAGACTCAGTCATGGTGGGTCCAGTTGGCTTTTTGCAAATAGGGAGTTATTTCTATTCACAAATTCTACATAAAAATGAAGAATCTGTTCAGTCGGGACCCGATTTTTTTGTATGAGAAGTGTTTTGGTTTTCACTTGTAGTTTGTTTTTGTAGTGCAAGTTGTTCATCAGAATGACGTATGGTAGAAAAGCAGCCTTTAACAAGCGCTATCACGCAACCTGTGATAATGACAGCCCGGCTCCCATTGGTGGTAATCTGAGGAGAATTTATTGATCTTTATAAACAGATATCTGAGGGTAAGTCCCGCTAACAATCCATACTTTATTTAAATTGTTTTAACTATTTTCAACATTATGCTGTTATTTTGGCAAATTTAAGAACCATTTATTGCATGTAAATCACACAAAATAATTGTTTGTTTTTTTCAAGCTCATAAGTAAGCCACAGTGGAGCCTCTGTGCAACTTACTATTTACAGTTAAACTGAGACTCATCAGAAACAGATTAACCAGCGCTCCTCCGTATAATGAAACAAAATGATAAATGGACTTCAGCTTCTAGCACTATTCTAGTCTTCTGACTACTCATAGCGCTTTTACACCTTAGGTCACACCTACACATTCACATATTGATGGCAGGTTTATATGTAAAGTGTCCATCAGAAGTCACTAATACACAGTCATACGTCATCGACAATGGGTTAAGTGTCTTGCCCAAGGACACAACAGACATGTGGCTGCAGGGGATCGATCCCCCAACATTCTGGTTAGGAGACGACTGATTCTACCAACTGAGCCGCCCAATAAACGATGGCGATGATGGGTTTTTTCAGACATAACTGGCAGGGTGAGTTTTGCTATGCCTTTAAACTGAACAAATGCCTCTCAAGTTGATTATCTGACCGTAATCAAAGCAGTGCATGTTAAAAGAAATCTAAGCTGTAGGTCGTTTGATGCGGCTACACTAGAAGGCCTAAAAAGTTCGCCATCGTTCACAGGTTAAAAGAGGCATTTGTATCGTAATCAAATTGTAGTCGATTGGTTCTGACATTGTAGAAGGGTATGGTCAAACTGCTTCATATATCCAGTGTGTAAAGTCTAAAGTCTTACACCACTGGATAAGTACAGACAGGCGGTTTGAAATACACAGCTTGAAAAACTAATCCTGGTTGAAAAATACAGACTTCTCTTACTGACTTTTCGCTGGCATGGAATCCAAATATATATATTTTTTAAGTCTGCAAACATTGGAACTAGCCTATGAAATATTAACCGTACTGTATATTTTATTTCTCCTCATTTTTTCAACAGGATATACACTCCTCAAGGTTGCCAAGGCCCTAAAATTCGCTGAAAACATTACCTTGGTGTTCA